TGTACTGGGTCAAATGGGTGTATTTTAACTGTGTGTACTGGGTCAAATGGGTGTATTTTAATTGTGTGTACTGGGTCAAATGGGTGTATTTTAATGTGTGTTCTGAGACAAATGGGTGTATTTTAATTGCGTGTACTGGGTCAAATGGGTGTATTTTAATTGTGTGTACTGGGTCAAATGGGTGTATTTTAATGTGTGTTCTGGGTCAAATGAGGTATTTTAATTGTATGTTCTAGATCAAATGGGTGTATTTTAATTATGTTTTCTGAGTCAAATGGGTGTATTTTAATTGTGTGTTCTAGATCAAATGGGTGTATTTTAATTGTGTGTTCTAGATCAAATGGGTGTATTTTAATTGTGTGTACTGGGTCAAATGGATGTATTTTAATTGTGTGTTCTGGGTCAAATCGGTGTATTTTAATTATGTTTTCTGGGTCAAATGGGTGTATTTTAATGTGTGTTCTGGGTCTAATGGGTGTATTTTAATTGTGTGTTCTAGATCAAATGAGTGTATTTTAATTATGTTTTCTAGGTCAATTGAAAATATATTTCAATTGTGTTTCCGAACACAACTGGGTGTATTTTAATTGTGTATACTGGGTCAAATGGGTTTATTTAAGTGTGTGTTCTGGGTCAATTGAAAATGCATTAATTGTGTGTTTTGGGTTAAATTACATATCAGAAACGTACTTTTTAATAAAACTAAATTATAAATATTCAGCAGTCGCATTTTTTCTTTTACCGAGAACATTGTAGATGGTCTGCTCTATGTAAATGACAAATAATCATTGCATCGTCATTTCATCAACGGAGGAAATAGTAATATTACACTGGGTGTGCGCCCTCTATAGACTTTCAACGTGGTATTTTAAAGTAATCTATTAGGCGACACAATTGCGAACATTGTTTTTTCGTCATAATTTTATTCCCGGGTGTGTTTATTTGGACTATGTTATTATTTGCTGTTTTATTAGCGGGTGCCCTTAACTTTTAAGATAAACGTGGTACCAACTAGTTAATATTGACGGAGAAAAACACTTTATCTGCCGGAACTGGCTCCCACTCACAACAATTTTAAACTAATATATTGCAGCTAAGCTTTGTCTTATTTAACGGCATTTATATCTAGTCATCCTATTTTATTCTAAATTCTGTGCCAGTAATGCTTACACCGTGTAACTAAAATTAAATACGCATATCAACGAACATCAATTAAATAGAAAATGTATTAGTCACTTCTTCCAGCCAAAATGCATATTAAAAGTTCGTTTACTACATTGCGGGGGCAATAGCGTCGTCTACTTCCTCGCAATCCTAATAGACAAAATATGTTATGAATAAATATCTAATAAAAATACTTATTACATTATTGTGTAACCTTGATGGTAGTGCACGTACAGTGATAATATTGAAATATTTATCGCGTATGTTTGAGTACGTATTCTTTTGTTTACATTCTACTCGGCGTACAAATGTAATATTTGTTTTCATGACAAACGATCCTTGTGTAATAGTTGAGCCGACAAGTGTTGTTTTGTCTTCGTCACTATTATAGCATCGACCAGCTACTTTTACCCTCGCTGATGACCGTGTGTACTTTGTAAGTATACTGTGTGTCAATTAAGTTGTGTCGTTCGATGGCTATAGGGTGTATGTGAGTATGACTGATATGTTCAGTCAACTAGAACAGTGCTGGGTGAACATATATATTACGCGAATGGTGGGCGTACATCGCTACATATTTCCTGGTGATATGACAAACAACTTCGTAGAATTCTTTTTTTATCGCGGGTAATATATACTGTGTTCAAAGTGTGGTCTATATTGTATCAATGTAAGGCGTGTCCAATCACATATTGATTAGGGATCAATATACGTATGTGTGTAGGCGGTACCCCGAGGTTACCCCTTGCTGTAGTTTGCTGATACGCCGCTCTGATAGTAACATACTCCTTCGTTACGTCGGCAGTTCTGGGTGGCTTGCGTCTGGTAAGTTAACACCTTCGTTGAATGATATGTGAGTTTTTAATTACAGCGTACTGTGGTTTGTAGTTGTATAATTCGTTGGCAACCATATGTTGATATTAAAGTTGTCCTAGGAATCCAAGTCCACCTATATTATGTCTAAATTCCTATCTATGACGGTGTCCGAATCACGCTTCATGCGTGCTATGTGATTGGTATGCCATACAAAACAAATGAGCATCATCCTTGACGACAATGTGATACAGGTACATGTGTATAAGAAGATTACATGGCCTGATACAGATTTTTTTTTTGAACTTGTAGTTTGAGACTGGTCAGTGACAACTCGGTCAACATTAGCGGTCCTAACCACGGGGGAATGCGGGTTCAAAGAGCATTCGAAAAATACCGTATGTCTTTTAGCAACATGTATTGTTATAAAATAGATTGGCGACTGTTTAACGTCTAGGTATTTATAGCATTGAACAGGCATTCCCATAGTAATGTCGCGCTATGTAAACATTTCAAACGGGATGCCACGGTCAACTTTAAAACCACAAATATACGAAATATAATTTAGTCACTATTTGATATACAATACGTCGCGTATGTGTTATTCCGTGATGTCATAGAATCAAGTTCAATATATGATTTAGTAATCCAAACGTGTCAACTGTAAACGTTCTGCGTATTGTATGTTGTCGTAGATACGGAACAAAAAAATAAACACATAGTTTTATAACTAAGTTTTAGCGTGTATATGAAAAAGTTAGTTTTGAAGCAAGTTCAATGCCGCCGTGCTTGTGGGTTGTGGTAACAAACACGCGACAATTGATATTTGTTAAAACAGTCCACCCACTTCATTCAGTCAAAAGTCTCACATACCGATCATAAGTAGACGTGTTTATTAATAATAACAATGAAGCGATTTAAGATTGATGGAGCATTTGATACAATCATTGGCCTCTATACACACGTCATTATTTGGATCCCTAAGACTTTTCCTACTGACACGTTTCAGTGCGATGGTATGATGTTTGTTTTGTTTTTAAACTCTCATATGTATGTATGTTATTGGATACGTTAATGTCATATGGCCAGTGGCGTACTCATATACTATTTAAGCAATTATTCATAATTCCAATCTTAGAATGAAAGAATCACACCATAAAAAATACTTTTAAAAGTTTAAATTCTTATACTTCTATTCATTCAAAATAATTATGTTTTTCAATAATAATTTATTAGATTCACAATAACTCAGTGAGTTTGATCGTGAAAAAAAATAAGTTTTTACCTCACAGAATTAACTGGATGGGGTCGACGATACGGTAGACGTATGGTAACGTGGTGAGTTGTTATTCGTTCAAAGGGCGAAATGAATCCGTCACAGTCAGCCACACCTAAAATAACTATTACGAATCGGTATACATAAATGACGCGTGTTTGGTTCGGCTAAATGAATACTTAAAGAGACAACGTAATGTAAGCAAATGTTTAATTATTTTGGAAACATAAATAACTGTGGCGGGCTTGCGTTCAGACGTCATAACGACCGTTACAGAAGTGTAGCCACATCACAACTTTTGTTTCTCAAATATTTACCCGGTTGCCTCGTCATAATGTCCACTGTGGGTGGATATTGTTTCCAGTAACCAATTTTGATTTCATTACAAATACTTCGCATATAATATGTTTCGAAATCGCGATGCTGTGATAACTTATCTATATATGTCACCAGATAATGTAAATAGTTATTGACATCGAGGTCGTGTCTTCCTGTTTCTAATGATTCTTCTATCGTGTATGGCCACTTTACTAGCACTCACATATAAACATTGGACATGATACGTAAACAAAGGGATACGTGATAGAATGCGTTCGGCCTCCAAATCAAAGAACGATTTGCGCAGGAACACATTCGTGACAGTTGTAATAATGTGTGTTTTCACATTCTAGTTTAAAAGATTTGTTTGCCCCGGAATATAACCAAAATATCACAGGTATTTCCCAAGTATACCGCCGGTATATTATCAATCAATCACTGTGTATTTTTTCAAAAAGAGAAGGCACAGAATACAGGATACAGTGTTGAAATTTGAAATAGTAGTCACCCACTGAATGGCTTGACACACGCGACCCACTACCTCTTGCCTGTAAACAATATGTTAAATTTAAAGACATTGATACAGGTCATTGCAAGCCTTGCTCTCACACCCACTCATGCTGGTACAGTGGTCGACGTACAGGTCATCGTAAGCGTGACTCTCGTAGATATCCTTCTTGACTCTGTGTCCGACGTACATTTCACCGCAAAGCTTGCCTTTCACACCTTCCCGCTCTGACACTGCGACCGACGTACGTAACCAGCGCAATTTTGACGTTGATGGATCACGACCAGTAGGAAGAAGATATGCATACTAATTAGATGATGCAGTGAAACAGTGAATATAATATCTACCTGTTTTTTTTTCCTTTCTCAGCTGCGTAATTATTACCAGAATTGTGAGTTCGATATTTGAACGTGTTAGCATCGCAAATAATCAGTAAACTGAGGTAAGTGCGATTGGCATGTTTCCGTGAATCCTCGCTGTTCAGTGTCTTTATAAAAGCTTGGGTCGTTTCGGTTCATCGTGTCTATAGTACCTTGGGGGCAACATCGCTCTTTGATTGTAGTTTTACATCTTCTCTGGCCTAAATACTTGAAGAAGCTTTACTGTCATCGTAAAACGATATGATACTGCTATTTGGTAATAATATGCGAGCTCAACGCACAGAAACAAGACATAAATAAATCAACGTAAATACGCACTACCAACCCTAAAATAGTTTTAATTCCATCCTGTACTGGCGTACATAGTTTATGCTATTATAATCTAATGTATGTGGTATGGACACAGATATTTACATCCACAATATTTGAGCTTTACATAACCCAGGACCATGTACACGTGACATACCCCCCCCTAGTCATCTGCCCATATGTGTTTACAGGTGCTTCGAATATAATAGTAACCTACGAAGAGTAGAGCAAGATGAATACGCCATTTGAACAACATCCATGGGAGTTTGCAACTTGTTTGTCCAAACTCTCATTTTGGTGAGTTTTATTCCTATTACATATTATATATATATATATATATGTATGATACAGTATTCGGTCATTTGTCATGTATGCACTGCATATTAATAAAGTTAGTAGTCAAAGGGCTAACACATAGGCTCATTAGTTACTGATATTGTATTATCACATTCGTTATTTATGGACAAAATATACATTCCTATAAATTACCAAGGTCACTAATATTAAATATCGATTATTATATCTACAGGTGGTTGCACCCAATCCTAAAATTTGGGTATACAAACCAACTTAAATGCGAACATCTGTATAGTGTACCAAAAGAAGAAGCCTCAGAGAAACTGACAAGAAAACTTGAAAAGTAAATATTTGATACTAAGAATGTATTGCCCTTCGCCTGAAGTCGATACATTATTATTTGATGTGGTAATACATTACATTATATTACATTATTACTTGACATGGTAATACATTACATTTCATTATTATTATTTGGCTTGGTAATACATTACATTATTATTTGACTTGGTAATACATTATTATTATTTTTATTTTTATTATTATTATTATTATTATTATTATTATTATTATTATTATTATTATTATTATTATTATTATTATTATTATTATTATTATTATTATTATTTGACTTGGTAATACATTACATTACATTATTATTATTTGACTTGGTAATGAAATGAGTCCCTTTGCGTGACATGTGTTAATTTCATATGTCTCACTTCTTTATATTATTTTAATTTTGATAATTTTACAGAGAATGGGAAACTGAAGCTTCAAAAAATATTCCAACCAGTAGCAGAAAACCAAGCCTGTTTCGTGCAATACGAAGAACTTTTGGACGTAATTTAATACCGTGGGTGTTCGCTGCCTTGTTTGAGGTATTGTTGCGATATCGAGTATACTCAAATAAAACGCAAATATAATGTAACAATGTAGACTTACATATGGTGTACAACGTTTGTTCCTTATCAACGTGTTGTAAACTAGTGCATTGCACATATATTGTGGTAAAATAACGCACGCTTTTGAGCTTAAAATACTTGGGATATGGATGTCCCTCCCACCATTGTTTCAATTTATTCGTCATCACGTTGTAATTCGGAGGAGCCTCTCTTACTATAATATGTTTGGGTTGAAATCCGAGTAAAGGGCGTGTTTTAGGGCAGCATATCTGCGAATTAAATTTGCATATAGTCTCGTGTAACCAAAATCCGCTTCCACAAGAACTACCGACAAAACGAGGGCCGCCGTTCGCAACCGATGTTACCCGACACCGCTCTTTTGTCCATTCGGCATAATTTAGCAATCGTTGCATACATGGAAATAAGAAAATTGACGTTGACAGGCGTTGGATACAGGTCACACTATCATGAGGCGAAGGCAAATTATTGTATCTCATTTTGTATGAGCTTTTTCTAATATCGGTTAACAATATTTTCAAAAGAAGTAAATATTTGTTATTACATCCACTGGTGGGTGAACATGAATAATTTGCATTGAATAAAAGGTGTAAAATCGTCAACACGTGGTAAGATGGGACTACTACTTCGATTGTATTTTATATTTTAGGTCCCGCTGGCCCACCTACATGAAACCTGATTTGAAGTATGGATATTTCTAGTCCCGCCCTCTACTATTGTATTTTATGTTCATGGCGTCATGCATTTTTCTTTGTTTTCTTTCAGGGTTTTTTCAGTATTATACAATGTTTTTTTCTACAAAAACTAGTCTGGTACTTTACCCCCAATTCCGGCATAACTACATTTTATGCCTACTTGTACGCAGCCGGACTGAGTTTAAGCGTCGCTCTAATTGTAATTGTAAGCCATCCGGAATCGTTCGGACTTGCTCGGATTGGTATGCGTATACGAGTTGGCTGTAGTTCTCTGATTTACAAAAAGGCAAGTGTTCGTTTTTGAGAAAAGAAAAATAATCATGCAATAAATATTGTATTGTAATCACTTTTACATATCATCAGAAATATAGTACTAAATCTGTGCAAGCGTGTCACTTTGATGATCAATTCGATAATTAATAGCTATCTTCCATTAATGACATTAATATTAATTCTCAATATTGATTATTGCTATAGCTTTTGAAATTAAATCACGTGGCAATGCAAGAAACCAACTCGGGCCAAGTGATCAATCTATTAGCCAATGATGTCTACAGGTTTGATACAGTATGTAATTTATTTATTTATTTATTTATTTATTTATTTATTTATTTATTTATTTATTTATTTATTTATTTATTTATTTATTTATTTATTTATTTATTTATTTATTTATTTATTTATTTATTTATTTACTTACTTACTTACTTACTTACTTATTTATTTATTTATTTATTTATTTATTTATTTATTTATTTATTTATTTATTTATTTATTTATTTATTTATTTATTTATTTATTTATTTATTTATTGGGAACACACTGCTACACGCATCGCCACTCTAACCATACTTTGGTTCTTCTACAGGCCTTGTCGTTTATCAATTCGCTGTGGACTGGTCCAGTTATGATAATTGTTGTGTACGCTCTGGTATTTTTAGAGATAGGGCCTTATGCACTTGCCTCATTAGTACTAACCCTTATAATGATACCATTTCAAATATTAATCGGGAGACTGGAGGCACATATCAGGTAGGTTGGACACATAGTTACAAGAATGGTGAAATACAATGTTTCAAAGTACATATTTGCATGAATAATTATCGACTACATATTTTTCTTTCCAATTCAGTTATCAAAACATGTACATTTCAAACAAAACCATATGTTTCACTGCTCAACAACAATATGTAGTTAATTCGTCAAACAAGATTAATTTAACCAGTTTAAAATGTGGGTATTCTTTTTCTACAGACCACGATGGTATGACATATTTATTTTCAAACTTGTCATATTTTGTATGTATGTCGCAAATTAAATTTCTTATTTATACGCAAGGAGTATTAGTCGGCAAACCCCTTGGCTATAAGTAAATCATAACTAGTAACTTAGCATTGGACACAGTGTTGAGTTAACACCATGGTCTGATCACAAATTATTTCTAGAATATATATTCACCGTACATAACTGTGGTTCGCATTATATTTTGAATTTCAACAGAGACAAGACCGTGGTACAAACTGACGACAGAGTTCGCTGTCTAAGTGAAGTGATCACCGGTATGCGAGATATCAAGATGCATAATTGGGAGGAGTTTTTCAGTAAGAGGGTTAAAAGTATTAGGCAGTAAGTACAGTAATACCTACGTGGGATATTATGGTAGACGAAACATCTTGTCACGTAATGGGGAGGGGGTTAATAGCAGGCTTAAATGTGTACACCAGTTACTGTAATATGGTGACTTCAAATGTACCCAACGCCAAAACTTATTTTTGGGTGTAAAAATACGTACATTATGGTCAGTCTTCGGAGGTTGTTCTGATCTGATATAATGATAGCCTGTGACTTTCAATAGCATTCTGAGAATTACATTAACTAATTAATTAAAAATAGAATACATTATCACAGAAAATATTACGCTAAGAACTTTCTGTTTTTGACATTGTGAAATTGTTTCGTTTTTTTTTTTTAACCGGAAAACAACTGATTTTGACAAGTTAATTCGGAAATATATAAAAAATATCTCATAAGAAAATGTATTCCACATGCACACCAATAATTTTTATAGTTACCGATTGCGCGTGAATATTAAAGACAAAACATAATTTGTTTGTCATATTCTCGATATTTTTGCATTTTATTTGTCTAGAATTATTACTGAAAGCTGCTGAATGAATTAAGAAATATGTAGCGAGTTTAACAACTCATGTTTGAACAATAACTTTCATAAACATCATAAATCTTCCTCCATAAAAACGAAAAAATTCCATAATGTCAAAAACGGAAAATCTTTGACGTTGTTTTAGAAGTAGTAGATTACCAAAATAGATACGTACGTAACTTTGCCATGTGAACCTAGCTGTCACTGGAATGACTTTTATTTACATTACATAATGTTGTCTCCTTGACGACGCCTTAACTTATTATTTAGTGACAATAGTGTTGTGTGGTCTATGTTGTAAACAACAAACAATCCGTAAACATTTGTACGTCCCCTGAAATGTGAACTGTTTCCTTAAAATGCAATATACACTAGTATATATTTCCTATAATTGGATTAATGAATAATTCCAAAATACAAATCATCCAAGTTAGTATCTCTGTATTTTTTTTAGGGCGGAAATCAATCAAGTTTCGCGAAGTTCTTATTTACAAGCAACAGTGTTCTTTTTATACTGTTCATGGAGTATGTTAAGCGGTTTTGCCACGTTTTTACCATACGTACTCAGTGGACATTCCTTACAAGCATATCAAGTATTCTACGCATTGGCTTTATACGATGTACTACGTGAATATACATTTTACGATTTCCCGACTGCCTTACAATACTCATTTGAAGCTATCGTGTCGATAACACGATTACAGGTTAGTATAATGGTATAACAAAATGGCAGATTATCTCAGCAATATACAGATCGGATTAAAACAAAATAACCTGATGATTATGTATAATTAATATCACATATTTGTAAAGCCGGTTGACATTCTAGAAACCAGTGACGTGACAGGCAACCTTATTTTCAAAAGGTGATGGTTATAACTGTGTCATACTACGGAATTTCGCCTTTGACGAAATCGCGTTCTATTATGACGTACGAGGGCGTCGTATTTACTTAATTGAAACACGTGGACCTGCCAGTACCTTGTGTGGTTCTCTCATACATTTGGCACTTTATGAACATATTCGATCTGTTACTCATTTTGGATCAACACAATGACATTTAAGAAACATGGTTATTTATTTCATTATGATATCTCTAAATTGCTAATATAGTTCTTGTTCATTCTGTCTGTTCATTCTGTTACTACTATCCACATATATAATGTTTACTATGTCTGGCGTCATACAAGCTGACCTTGAGAGTTGTCCGTTTCCTGAACTTGAATGTATCGTGAAACATATAAAGGCATTTTCAATATTTGTTCACAACTTTTTGTCCGATTATATAATCTAAAGACGTAAATAAGGTGTAATTATGTTAAAAGTTAAATGTTAAAGTTAAATGTTGAAGTTAGTGAACGTTTTCCAAAATTTTCTGATCAATCATGAAATGCCAAACAAATATACTAAGCCTATCGTATCACCTGTGGTTCCTACTTTAGAATTTTCTGCTGCTTGATGAGTGGAATGGATTCAGTGAAAACAAAAACAGTGAAATCGTTGCAGTTGGGAGTATTGATGTTAAAGATATGACAGCATCCTGGTCTAAGGTACGTATGCATAAAATATCAGTTATCGCCAATAGTACTACCTAGCGTACTGTTAGTTATCGCCAATAGTACTACCTAGCGTACTGTTAGTTATCGCTAATAGTACTACCTAGCGTACTGTTAGTTATCGCAATTGTACTACATAACTTACTGTTTGATTTCGCCAATTGTACTACCTAGCGTACTGTTAGTTATCGCCAATAGTACTACCTAGCGTACTGTTTGTTATCGCTAATAGTACTACCTGGCGTACTGTTAGTTATCGCCAATAGTACTACCTAGCGTACTGTTAGTTATCGCAATTGTACTACATAACTTACTGTTTGTTATCGCCAATTGTACTACCTAGCGTACTGTTAGTGATCGCCAATAGTACTACCTAGCAGACTGTTAGTTATCGACAATAGTACTACCTAGCGTACTGTTAGCTATCGCCAATTGTACTACATAACTCACTGTTTGTTATTGCAATTGTACTACCTAGCGTACTGTTAGTTATCGCCAATAGTACTACCTAGCGTACTGTTAGTTATCGCCAATTGTACTACATAACTTACTGTTTGTTATCGCCAATTGTACTACCTAGCGTACTGTTAGTTATCGCCAATAGTACTACCTAGCGTACTGTTTGTTATCGCCAATAGTACTACCTAGCGTACTGTTAGTTATCGCCAATAGTACTACCTAGCGTACTGTTAGTTATCGCAATTGTACTACATAACTTACTGTTTGTTATCGCCAATTGTACTACCTAGCGTACTGTTAGTTATCGCCACTAGTACTACCTAGTGTACTGTTAGTTATCGACAATAGTACTACCTAGCGTACTGTTAGCTATCGCTAATTGTACTACATAACTCACTGTTTGTTATTGCCATTTGTACTACCTAGCGTACTGTTAGTTATCGCCAATAGTACTACCTAGCGTACTGTTAGTTATCGCCAATTGTACTACATAACTTACTGTTTGTTATCGCCAATTGTACTACCTAACGTACTGTTAGTTATCGCCAATAGTGCTGCCTAGCGTATTGTTGGTTATCGCGAGATATGTTGGCGAGATTTAGGTGGTTTTGTAACTCATTTTGTGGAGATGGGCAATAAGCTCATGGTCTGTAGACATCGCACTTGATATATGTATTATCATATTGCACTGCATGTTGCATTCTATCACAAATACCCAGCTTAGCTCACACAGCTTAGCTCACACAGCTTAGCTCACACAACTTAGCTCACACAACTTAGCTCACACAGCTTAGCTCACACAGCTCAGCTTAACAGCTTAGCTCAACCGCTTAGCTCAACAGCTTAGCTCGCACAGCTCAGCTTAACAGCTTAGCTCAACTGCTTAGCTCAACAGCTTAGCTCGCACAGCTCAGCTCGCGCAGCTTAGCTCACACAGCTTAGCTCATACAACGTAGCTCGCACAGCTTAGCTCAACCGCTTAGCTCAACAGCTTAGCTCGCACAGCTCAGCTTAACAGCTTAGCTCAACCGCTTAGCTCAACAGCTTAGCTCGCACAGCTCAGCTCGCGCAGCTTAGCTCACACAGCTTAGCTCAACGCTTAGCTCAAATAGCTCAGCTCACACAACTTTTCGCACACAAACCACACTAATTGTTGGTTCGAATTGAATGTGTTGCTCAATCAATTTCCAATTTACACGTAGTAATGAAAAAATTGTATTCTCTTAAATCATATGAGAACAAACTCGTTCTGAATTTGGTTATAAGTAAATAAAAACATCCTCGTAAACACGAACGTTTCGTACAAAATAAAGAAACTTTCAGAGTAAGTGACTAAGATGATCTATTTCAAGATAAATACGGACACAGGATGATGAACGAAAATAATATCCGTAAAGTTATCTGACTTAGAACAATGAACACGAGACAATTTATCACAATATGTTGTAACACGTAGTGTATCGATAGTTATCGCCAATACTACTTACTATCAGTTGTAGCCAATAGTACTACCTAATGTACTGTCAGTTATAACGATAGGGCTACCTAGCTCATTGTCACAGATATCGTCAAAAACTGTACTGTCGTTGACCTGTGAGTTTTGTTCATTTTCGGTCAGACAATGGAAACTCCCGTACTTCATCAGATTACCATGGACGTGAAACCAGGAGAACTTATTGCAGTAATCGGCCCCGTGGGCTGTGGCAAGGTACGTGATCGACCTATGGTTGTCTCAAAGTACGTAGTGTAGTGTAGTGTAGTGTAGTGTAGTGTAGTGTAGTGTAGTGTAGTGTAGTGTAGTGTAGTGTAGTGTGGTGTAGTGTGGTGTAGTGTAGTGTAGTGTAGTGTAGTGTGGTGTGGTGTGGTCTAGTCTAGTCTAGTCTAGTCTAGTCTAGTCTAGTCTAGTCTAGTTTAGTCTATATATTAGTAATATGCCAGTGCCGATGAAAATATTTACGTGATATACTTGCCGAAATCACTACTCTAATTACACACACTTGACGAATATCAAATAATATTTTTTTCAGTCCTCGTTACTTCGAGCCTTAATGAGCGATCTCACACAGGAAAGTGAGAAATTCAGTGTGGCTGGTACCTTATCTTATGGTTCGCAGCAACCATGGATATTTAAAGATACGTTGAAAGAAAACATAATATTCGGTAATACGTTCGATGAAAAGAAATATCAGACAGTGCTCGAAGTATGTAATCTTGTACAGGTATGTCGTTTATAGAATACATACTGTCATTATTACACACCGCTTACAGAGACTTGTGGTTTTAGGTTTGTTTTTCCTCGCTACGTTTCCTCGTGTTCTGTCTACAATTGGAAATTCCTGGTATTGCAACTAAATTCTATATTGACAAATACGTCACCATTAGGACCAACAATAAGATGTAAGTGTCGTTTATTTCATAAATATGAAGAACAATTCGTTCAACGGTGCCTTGAACTATGAGAGCGTTTTGCTGAACATTTACGCCACTTTAGACTGGTTTCACTTCCTTTTAATTATAAAGGGCATAGTATTACGGATATGTCCATTTCAGTAATATGTGATGTCAATTATCACGAGAATAAACTCCGATAGTATAATTACAGAAATATTTTGATAATAGCCTAATGGGCGAACGGCTTAAATCGCCATAGAATACCCTTCTTTTCTCTATTGATTCAAAGCTAGAGAAATACCCAATGAACTGGCTATTAATTCGTTTCTTTTGATTTTGTGTCATATTTAAATAACTTTCTAGAAATTTTATTCAATTAAGTGGGTTTCAATTCACAAATAAATAAAATTAAAAGAATTTACGTAACCACATATATCGCAATAGAGTTGCCCGGACAGTGACGGCGTTATTTCCCGCTTTTATCATAGCTTAATTCAATAGTTCACAGTACTATCTTATGTTCCAACAACGATTACCAAATATTCAGTTTCATGCTATATATCATATATCTATATTGCGTAATGCGATATGATTGTGCCACGAGAGTGATGAGAGTGATTACTCTGGGGCCCAATTGGACAAAATAATCACAATCAACTAAGGGATCAGTTTCTAGTACTATTTAAAAAGAAAATGTCCGAATCAGTTGACGACGAACACCATATATACACAAGTACGGCTCTGTTGTTCTCTATCAGATCGGAGGGCGTTTGGTAAACTGGTGTCGTTTTTACAAACTAGTTTTACAGAGTAACTGATTTTGTCGTATCGATATTTGCTATTTACTATTTTCTGAAACATAATAACCATATGGTGGGTTAGCACAGTTGGTAGCACAGTCACGCGTGATCATGTATCAGTCATATGTTCATTTCAGAATTTGATACTCGGTTTACATTTGAGAAATTTTGCAACGCCCGGTCGTCAATTACAACTACTCGGTCCTAATTCCCGGGAATGTTGTTACCCTAAAATGTCCTTTCATCTACACACTTCGTTGATATTGCCACAGAAATGTGTACTTTCAAATTTGCCCCCTCATTTATGTGACAATACTGTGAAAGAGTGTATTTTGACCGATATTCCATTCACGACGCCTTATCAGTTTGCAGTCAACTTCGCCCCGGCTGAATCATGAGATTAAAAAGAGGCAAAGAACGCCCACTGATTAGTGCATGTACAACTATATTGTACCAATCAGGGGGCGTCTACATGCGTGTTTGTCATGATTCATCAGGCGAAGTTTTGACCTACGTCAGGGCGCGACGACTGGGGCGTGTTATGAATCCTTAATGTGTCAAAATGCACAAACAGACATAAATTACTAGTTGAATCTTTTTTTTTCAGGACATCGCGTCACTTCCAGAAGGGGATTTGACGTCACTTGGAGAGAAAGGCGAAGTCTTAAGCGGGGGTCAAAGGTCGCGGGTTAGTCTGGCACGTGCAGTGTACCATAACGCTGATATATACTTGATAGAAGATCCATTCAGCGCTCTAGATTATAAAATAGCCAGGGATATAATGGACAAGTTAGTATATGACGTAGTGATTAAATTAAATTATATTAAATTAAAATTAAACCCATTAAAATTCCATATGCAGTGAATCCAATAGACTTTTTTTTAATTCTATTGTAGATGTGTGTGTGGATACTTGAGTGGGAAAACACGAATCTTAGTAACACATCAGACGCAGTATCTGGACACAGTTGACAAAGTACTTGTGTTAAAAGAGGTATGCGTACATAGAGGGCGCACTGGCACCAATATGTAATTTGTCTTTCAATATTATCTTCAAGGCGACCGTCATGTCTGGTGTCTGTCGCAAACAATAATAGATGGCAATATTATATACATGTTTATCATACTTTTGGTACAGGGAGAAGTTCTTGCATTTGGTACCTTGCAAGAAATTCAGAATTCTGGCATTGACTGTGCTGACGTCATCAGAGAATGCCAACAAGGCAAACAACGCCGAGTACAGGCTAAACGGCGATGGGGTCGTTTAGCTGTTACCTTGGTTACGACGGGTGCATTCAAAACAACTGCACAACAACAGCGTAAACGGAAAAGACTGAAACACAGATCTGTGACGTCATTCGGAAAAGGTCACTTCATGACACTGCCATCTAGTTACAACGCACAACAGGTGAGTAATATATTGTTTACTGTGACGATTTAGTATGATATACATTAAATTAATAAATTTTGACCGAATAAACCCAAGTTTGACCTGATTTATTGTTGCAAAGCAGATCTGACAACACGTGACCCATAGTTAATATGCTAATTACCTAATTATTATGCATAAACATATACTAAAGCGATTACAAGTGTGTAAACTCTCTTCACACCACACCGTCGTGATTACCTAGAGAATCCCACTTGTTCAGACATTGGTATGACTTATATCAGACCCACTATATGATTTTGAAGTCATTTGGACTATTTGTTGTCGCTTCCCTTTTCAGGAGAGTTATTTGTCAGAAGATTATTTAAAGGAAATTAAGGCGCGCAAAGCTGGAAGGACTGAGCAAGAAGACGAGGCAGCCGAGGACGAGGACGAGACAGAAGAAGAAAGTGGAACGGGTCACGTGGGGTTACGAGTCTATGCACATTATTTGAAAGCAGGATTTGGCATAATTGGTAGCCTTGTTGTTCTACTAATTAGCATATTAGCTCAGGTAAGTAGAATGATGTCATAAATGAATATCTTTGATTGGAATAAATATTTTAAATTATTGATCCTAATTGTACTATTTTAATCACCAGAAAATCGTATAAAATGTGGTGGGATACAATGTTATTTTATTATTTTGTGATATTATGATATGATTAAAGTCACGGTAACCCTCCCAAACATGACTAATAATAAATAACTTATTGGTATTTGCGTGGCTATGTTGTTCTAATTGGTTGTTTTTATGTGTGTGTGTTTTCCACCAGGCGTTGTACATTTCATCCGATTGGTGGTTGTCAATATGGGTGGATGGTAATATTATGTTATTACACACTACTGAAATCAATGATACATTAATAGATAATGTTACCATGCCAACGTCGACAGAGCTTGCTATACAGTACGATGCAACTAATGGAAGTACAAATTCGTCCATTATAAATATACAGGTATGCTTAGCTGTGGATTAAACAGGTTATACCAGCGTCCAAGCTGACTCGGAGTCCACCCACTATCTCCGCACTTTTCCCGGCAATCACCACACTACATGTTTTCTCTCAACAATATGGCTAGCTTGAGCGTCTCACTGAATTTATAAGGAAGCAATCCCCTGGAACACTATAAACACAGCATAAAGACCACGAATATAATTGCCACACTGGCCATATCTCGCACTGTCAATGGATTCAGACCACAAACAACAGTCATTTTTCCATAATATAATGATGTGGTGGAATGTCTAACGTTGCCTACAGGTATCTCTGAGGGCCAAAACACTTGATGTCCATTTTGCCGCCCACATGGTTATTAGAAATTATTGAAATAATACAATTCGTTGTCTGATAGTTATGATTTGTTTTCAATTAATTGTATACACGCATTTGTAGAATAGCAAGAAACTGTTTTTAATTATTGGGGTACATCACGAATTAGTTGTAGCATTGCGTGACACGTAATTTGCCAAGTCATACATATACGCGTTGATACGTTTGCAGAATATCGGTCTTGAATGACAAATCCCTCTATTAAAATTGTGGCAATAGAACCGTCTCTGCCTGTACTTGTTGATCCCCTCACTTTTTCGGTAATATATGATAATAGTATGTGTGTTATTATTTTTAAATTGTTGTTATATTGTGTCTCGTTATATTCCCACCATATTCACTGTAGGTACCGATATTTGATGACAGCGCCCTCAGTGAAGATGATTACCTGTTTCTCGTTATCTACTCGTCGTTGGTGGCGGCATCTATACTGTTCGGACTAACCAGGACTGTCACGCTATTCAAAGGCGCCGTGCATGCGTCTAAAAATCTGCATAATCAGATGTTTGATTCAATAATGCAAACATCCATATGTTTTTTTGACAACAACCCAACAGGTGAGAACGTTGAGGGCACGCTAAGATATAATTGTTGTTTTTTCGCTTTGTAAATTGTTCAGTATTGGCGGATCTTTTTTGTGTGAGTATAGTGTAATTTAATCGACTTCTATACCCTATGGCATCACATAATGTTGAGGTTAAAGCATAGAGAATATCATTAAAAAGTGTGGCATCTTTTGATGAAATTAATTGCCATACACTTTTATATTCATTGCAATTACTTCCGTTTTCTTCAAAGGTCGCATTTTGAACAGGTTTTCCAAAGACGTTGGCATTACCGATGATCTACTGCCGTTTTCGTTCGTTGATTTCGTTCAGCATACAATGATATTACTTGGTATATTAATTGTGGTATTTCTGGTGAATCCATACGCCATACTTCCTACACTTCCACTCATAGGGATGTTTGTCTATCTACGCCGCTACTTTTTAATGACATCAAACGACATCAAACGACTTGAAGGAGTCAGTAAGTCAACATATATTGCACAGCCCCGAAAACGGGAAAGGGGTGAAATGTGGTTACTCTTTAATATATCCCGAACAAACATGTGTACTCAGTTAAAAGGGTAGGCACCGATTAGCCACTAATGAGCAAACACAGTATCTAACAATATAGTGAGCAAATCAACATAAGCTCACAAACCATATATGTATAGTCTTTTAATGTCAATTATTGGCGCCTCTACCCTCACTTTGCATTCAACGTTTGTTCACCTACATACTGCGCAATGCCCACAGTCAATGTCATATTTACTTTATAATTTTCCAGCTCGAAGTCCTGTATTTTCCCACATTTCGAACACTCTTAACGGAATATGGACAATACGTTCAGCCAGGGTTGAACACAAGATGGAAAAGCAGTTCTTCCAGCACGAGGACAAACACTCATCTGCCTGGTTTCTGTTCTTAGCAACTACTCGCTGGTTTGCGATACGATTGGACATACTTGTAGT